TAGCCACCCTTATGATCAGGCTCTTCTGTGCGCAATTTTTAGTATGACAAATGTCCTAGGAAAATAGAAACTTTGAATCTTATAAAGTATTGAAGTCAACAATGTGCTTATGTGTGCGGTTACTTCTTGTTGCACCCGGGCACAAAGGCATTCCTTTAATTCATAGGTGAGCAATGGGAATTATCTCCTTTCAGAATATATCCAGATGCTATTGCAGGATGATGGCACTGGCTTGCCCTGCTCGGGCTTCCCTGAGGAAGGTCCACAGCACAATGAGGTATACTAACAGACTCCGTGGAGTGATCAACACAGAGGCAGTATATTCTCCAAAGGCTCTTGTTCCTCAGTGAAACAGTTTTCAAATTCAGATTTGTCAGGGGAAGCAGTCTTACAGGACCCAGATGCAGCATATTTTTGGACCCCATACAACTCTGCTACCGTTCCTTGGGAAAGACAGAGGCATTTCATGTTCACCTATATATTTAACGTGAATTTAATTTGTATCCTTCTATAGAACATATTTAATTTCTGTTAAATGGCAAGATGATGCACCACCTTACCTCTATTTGTGGACAGTGTTTTTCAAGTGTATTGAAAATGCATAGATCTGGAAAACAGAATCTAAGTATCTATTTAGCACAGCGTATAACATTAAATCCCCCAAGAGAAAATTTGTCAGTGAATTGTTATTACCATTCTGATGTACGTGAAGACTTTTAAATGTGAAGCTTTATAGCACTATTTTTGATTTGTGCTAACTAAAATAGTTTAGAAAAAAAACACCAAACAAAAACAAACTGAAATTTCAACTATAGGAAGGACTTTTTATATGAGCATGCTTTTCAAACAAGCCAGTCCCAATTCTCTATGATTTCTTTATAAACCAGTAATATTCATTGAATGCATTACCTTCTTTACTATAATAGAGCTACTCTGACTTATAAATCCACCAGAAGATCTGAAATTGACACTGTATGGAAAATTTATCTCTGGTCCAGATTAGGAATGTAGGTGCCATTACATCTAGAAGACTAAATGCAAAGTCTCATATAATGATTTCTTATACACCTATTACTTAAAAGTCAAATGTCATGAACTCACTGCATTTTTATATTAAAGATTCTACAAAAATGCAACAAAAATTGTACAAAAATGTGTACTGCATATTTCATAGAAAATCTTGTTTATAGGTAAAGGATTGCTTAGATTATGACCACAAATGATCAAATTCAGGGTTTAAAATAGCTTCTGCTATTACTTAAGCCTAATTTCTACTTTTACTACTGTAAAACACAGTTCAAACATTTTTGGTCAAAACCAGTTTTAAGGATCATTCTTGTATGGACAGAACCAAGACTCAGTATCATTTTCATTGACTATGTCTGAGGCTAACCTTCAACCTCTTTTTGTAGCTATTGGAATTTTGCTTCAGCCCTGCACGGAGTAGCCAAGAAAGAATATTTGAATCCTGCAAAAAGGGAATTTGAGAAAACAGAATTTTATAACTACTTTCAAACCATGCTATTTCCTTACGTATGCTTGTATAGCCTTAGAATTCATCCCAAATCCTTGTATCACAATTTCAGTTTGAGTTATGTGGTGAAGATAGACTTAGCCAATTTTAAGGAGAAAATTCTTTAAATATTTCTCCAAAGTCTGCTTAGACTGTTGCAATTCCGTATAGAGAAGCTCGGCTAGTATCAAGCTAGTATCAGTACAGGGAAGCTAGGTAATATCAAGAAAGCCATTCTAACTACGGACAAGTTTAAATAAAAGGCAGAATCTGGCCTACAGATTTTGAGTAAGAAAAAAGGACAAAATAGAATAAAACAAAACAAAACAAAGCAATGTTAGTATCTTTGATAACATTGTTCTGTTGCAGTTAACCATTTACTTTGATGGTGTCTGAATTGTAATACATTGAGTTGAATGAAGTTCCCAGTTGCTTTTTTTTTCTCTTTTTTTTTTTTCTTCTTCACTCAGAGATTTTGATACCAAATCTGAGAGTTGTATTCCATGCAGCTTGAGTGTTTTGGTTCAGTTGTAATATTTCTCTTTTCTGTTTTTGTTCGAAGAAGATCCAACGCTCAGCTGGATGAGATGCAATACAGACTGCATCCTACAGAATATCATGAAGTGTTATAAACCACTACAAAGTAGCAGAGGAAAAGAAAAAAAATAAAATTCACTAAAAAGTATTTCAAATTCTGAATCAACTTCACAAAGATCTAATGTGTAAGAAGCACAATTAAAAAACCCATACTATAATATACCCTCTCAACGTATATGGATTGTTTTGGTGTAACTGTGAATACCTCCACAACTGTTTTAAGGAAGCAGTACATATAATATGTCATCTTTAGCTACATTTACGATCATCAGGAAGACAGGGCATTTAAAATGAGTTGATCAGGAAGAGAAATATACACCCTTTTATTTTTTAAAATCTCTAATTTATTTATACACTCAGTCATGTGCACCTATATCCTTTGTGTGGTTAATACAGTTACATAATTTTAAGTATCCTTGGGTGTGTACAGACCCTATACACGTATTATACACATACAGTATTAGACAGTAAAATATAGCACGATGCAGCCTGTATAAATGCAGGTGATGATGAAAACAAGTGTCTGGCCTAATACTATATGCAGGACATGGATATATCTCATTACCATTTGAGCCTTTCTGTCAACTTGTTCATTTAGTAAGTTTCTGCATTTTTATGAACATAGTAATTCAAAGTCTCAATACAAATCACTGTTTTCTTAAAACACATTCTGTAGGTTAAAAATTGTTCTTTTGGGTTAATGATGTTGTAGTGAAATACCTGCACTTTATGCTAGGAAATCGCAGAGGACTAACTATGTTAAGGACTTCCTACATCTGCTTTAATCACTGTCAGAACGTATGCCACACGAAACCTCGCTTTATGAAAATTTGCAAGGAAGTTGCAAAATACCTTCATGTAAGTATTTAAAACAAAATAGTCTTTTAAAAGAAGATAAGCAAACTCACTGTTCTGTACAGCTCCCCTTTCTGCGTACGCACGTACGAAGATGGGAATGACAGATGAGAGAGGACGAGAGAATCAAGAGCGCGTACTTTGCCTACACTCACCAAGGTATCCAGAGTATCAGAAGAGCGTTCTGAATAAAACGCAAATGCCGTCATACTCTATGCCGTGAGTATTAATTATTCAGCAAGTGAAAGGAATACAGTGCATTTTTGAGGCTACCTCCACACCGTTCTCAGAAGTCAGGAGGAGACCAGAGGGAAAGTGCTCTCAAAGCCCGGAGTATGGTGGCTGTTTACCCGACAGTGCTGAGCACATTCTCATCATTAATTCTAATTTTGCCTTATGTACCGAAAGGTCCCCCACGCCCCCCTCCCCCCCGTTTAAATTTCCGTTTATGGCACAACATTTTCTGTATCGGCGCCCCGTTTGCGCGAGGATCGTTTCAGATCCTCGCAGAATCTTGCCACCGAACTGCAATGACACCCCCCTGCGCTTCGCCGTCTTCGCCCGCTTCCAAGACGATCCTCACTTATTCCGCTCCCACCGCATTTCTAGCCCTCCGAAAGGACGCGGCGATGCGCTTTCACCGGAGCTGGACGGAGCAGCAGCCCCGGGAAGGTGCGCGGGGCAGAGTGAGAGGCAGGG